TCAACAGAGAGTAAGGCATTATAAACATTTCAACAACTAAACTGCGTACATTCAAAGCTCTACCAATGAAAACCAGTCGTTCCTTGAATTGCTGACAGTCTTTGAGCGAAGTTCTCGTTTGCCATTAAACCCTTGTCATACCTATTGGTTTATGAACGGCGAGTCGACATTCAGGCATAGCCAGCCAAACTTTTCCAACACAAACATCCAAAAAGACAAACCTAAAGAAAGAACAGGCAACGCGACCGTGGACGATAAAGCCTATGTTAGAACGGATCCTTCCTAAATAAAGCGAGTAAGATACGCCAGTGCTGCACCAGTTGCGTGTACATTAGCCCGTTGGTTACTAAGGCTTTTACGTAAGATCATCGTGTTTTGTTGTGCGCATAGATACCTAGAATTGTTGTCTAGGTGGTATCGTTACCCACTTGTCAAGCTTAAACGGTGGAAGCGGCGCTTCGACAAGTAGGTTACTTAGTCAGCATGGGTAGGTGTTTGCGAGAAGATCTCCCACAACAATTCTATAGTGATCAACGGCAATGCGATATTTTTTAACGTTTAACGCTGCTTAGATATGCCCAACGAATCTTACATTGTTAAACGTAAGAGCAGCGTTAAAAGTTCGATGTGACAAGTTTTGTTATTATTTCCCTTAAATAAATACCTTGTCGACGTGAGAAAACTGAGCTGACGATTCCCTCCTGGCTTTGCAGCAAGAGCCTCTCACCTATTTGAATAACCACGAGAATCTTTCGCTTCTCATTATCGCAAATCAACAGGATTTAGGCAGGAGAAGACTTTACAAAGCTTGCTGTCCTTCAAGGGCATTGACCTCCTAAGTACGTCTCCGAAAGGTTTGCGTTACTCAGCTTAGTGTGTGTCACTTTCATATGAATACACTCTACGAAGTTGTCAAATAGATGGTTGTGATTTCTGTTGTTATTATTTAGTAACTGGAAAAAATCGTTGTGGAGTTCATCAAGGCAGAGTATTATTTTCACTAGCGGAAACTTTGTAGCAGCATTCGCTGGCAAACGGTTAATGTTTCAAACATAATTAAGACGCAATTTGTTTTCTCCGTCGGAAGAATTCCGGAATATAACAAACATGATATTTTTACAGAGTTACACTTAATTAGTTAATTACTAGAGCGCTCTAGCCAGTAACGAATAAATGAAGCTTTCCCAGATCATTTCTGGTCTTCTGTTAAATAGACGTAAAAGCTGGACTTCCGTTACCCAACCCAACCCAAGTGGAGAAGTGTTATCAAAGTACAACACATGCAATATTTGGATTAGAATTATGTAAATACGGTATTGAGCTTACCTCGTAGCCGCCGGAAGTTCCGTGCATTATACAGTGTCATGTGGTTTTCTTAGAACCAAAGGTATTTTGGTAAAATCTACGGAAAGTCGAACTATCCCTACCATTGAGTCTATTTTTAAAAACCTTTGGCCTAACTGTAAAGGTCGTTTGTTAATGAACACTGACAGACGAATAGAGCGCGCAATACTTAAATATTAAAAGTTTGTAAGGGATCAAGCCGCGACCGAATAAGAATTTGGACTTTGCTGGGAAAATTGGGACATTTTTTATATTTATCTTATATTAAACATCAGAGTAGAAAGATCAAATTGAGCGCGCTAAGTCGAACTTTAAAATGACATTCAATCGGCGGAAGGATGCTTTACCCCGAAACCTAAAAGTACGCTAACTACCACAGACGTTTTCCAAACGCAATATTGAGATCCGCACGTTCTATGGCAGAGGTTTAGCACTTGCCAATGCTGTTGGTGGTCAGGATTCTTTATATCAATACCAAACGGGAGGTAAAAATGAGGCATCGAACGTATACTGCTAAGCGATAAAGAAATGACAGTTGATTAGCTCACATTCGGTATACGTTTTTGTACCACATTTCTAACAGAAATACCTGTTAATAATTGGCAGCAATACCGCATACCATATTTTGTCTAGTTTTTTTTTTTTTTTTAGTTTTACCAGTGTACATTTAACCATTGGATAAAGTTTCATGCTCTTTTACATCGAGGATCACTTTCAGTTTTGACAACCTCGGGAGCCAGTAGGCTAGGTGCACGGAGAAAAATACATTTAAGTTAACACAAAACAATAAACAAGAGCAGAACGCGTTTTTCAAAGGTTCCAACTCTAGCCGCAAACTTATGTTGCACTCAAGTGACACGCAAAATTGGTTACAAATTTATAAAACATTTTGGGAACAAAAACAAGTGTAAAACAAATAGAATAGAATAGAAAAATTATATACGTCATCGATTTTTAGCGGGACGAACGGCTCCTGACAGGTGGTATTCAAAAGTACGCGCCATTCGCTGAAGAGCTTTTTTATCTGACCCTTCAATACTCGAATACAATAAACTACGGGCTTTTATCCAGTAGACAAAACTTTACAACAGTCGCCGTAGATGTATAAATGCGATACTAAGATCCTATGTAGCATCAGCTATCCATTCAGTTGCTGTGCGCTACGGATTAAGCACCATCTAAGTGCGTCTAAAAAGCGAAGGATACTCCTAACATAAGAACAAAAATCATGACGCTGTCCCTGATGAGACCACTGCTTTAATTGCAATTTAATACAGTAACATAATAATGGGAAAATAAAATTTCGAGCGTAACCTAGCGTAATCTACATCAGTTTGTCAAAAATCGCAGGCTGCACAATCTGCACAATATGTTATTGCTCATCCACAAGTTTGTTATGAGGCATTAACTTTGACAGTTTGTTTCCATTAGTGTGTATATGATTGTGACCTAACGCACTTAGGGTCACCGTATCAATAAGTTATGACAAAGCTTACATCGGAGTAAGTTGTGAGGCTAAAAAGTCTTACTTCTCGGTCTCTATTTATTAATAATAATAATAGTAATAATAATTACTCACAAGGTGTCATTAAGCGTTTTTGGTAAATCGAAACAAAAACAATGAACAATGAAGTCAAACTGGTCTTCACATATTATACAAACGCGGCAAAACAGTTGGCATTATCCAACAAAATGGCGCGACTACTAGTGAAAATAGCTCGATAACGTGTGCTAGATGACAGTCGTCGTTTTCCTCCTTTCTTTTTCGGAGCTTACTGAAAACTGGAAATGATGTATAATACTAACAATCTATTTCATGATACACTTACTTTGTTTACTCGAATTGAAAACGTCTGAGAAAAGATACTATCAAGAGATACTGATTGCTAGCTAACGGGGTATACGTTAGTAATCACACAGTCAGACGGTGAATATAATGAGGCCATCTATAATTGATTCACTGTATTACGCAATCTACTATGATGCAAAAGCATAGAGTATGAAAAAACGATGTAAAGATTAGTATAACCATCGGACGTTCTGTTATTAAAAATAGATCCTTTATCATAATAATCTATAATAATAATAATAATAATAATCTATATAGTCGGGAACAGTGCCGCTTCTTTGAGTAATTGCCACCTTGATCATTTCTATTTTCACACGTATATGAATGATTTTTTCGGCATCACCATGTCGCTATTCGCTTTCTTGGGCTTTGGCTTTTTCTCTTCGCCCTATTTAATTCCAGTTGCTTACAGTGAACAGGTTTCACCAATATTCATTAGCGATAATAACAGTAATGCGATCGTGAATAGGCAGGTGACGACAATGATGACGACCCACGACAACGACTACAGCAAGAGCAACAATTATGACTATTTGACTAGTGAAGTATGACTATTGTATAAAATACGGCTGGTGACTGTAGCTTAGGCCGACTGTGCAGCTGTTAAAGGAGAACCATCATCGGCCAGGTACTATTGACCGTCGTTGGCATTGCGACATTGTTGAACAACAACGATCGCGAGCCAGCGAACCAACATGCAATCTTCATCGTAGCGACAAATGCCAAAGATAAATGTAGTCAGTGTACTTGCCACGCTAGCGATAGAGCTTAACGATGTTTTAGCAATAAGGATCTAGAATAGAAAAAAAACGAGGAGACGAGATCGACAAGTTGGTTGCTGGGTCTAAATAATCATCAAGGAGCGTCAAATGACACGACACAACCATAGTTGCAGCTAAAAAACGAACGCCAAAAGATACCAGTAAGCCGCGGAACGACTCAAGAATCATCAAGTTTACCACCAATGAAAATAAATGAAAAAAACAGCAACAACCAATGGTAAAATTCGTTTCACGCTCTTCGTGACGGGCATTGCCACGGTTCTTTTTGTCGTGGGAGGGGGTCTCCTTCGGCTAAAAGAGCGCAGTTGACTGTACCAAGGGACCTTCCATTGTAACAGTATTATATAACAGTGCCGGTATAAATAAGTCGAATTCGATACAGCACCGAATAGCAAAAACGAATCGTGAAGGACTTCGCAGGCACAACACGTACATGAATAGTCCTCTGAACTCCCAATAACAAGACCACCAGTGACAAGTTTTTTGCTTTGACGAACAAGTTCTCGCTTATGCCACTTTAACTTAATTTCACTTTTAAAGTCTGTATATGTAAAACTATTAAATACGGACTGCATCAAATGATTACCCGGAATGTATCACAGGGCTGCGATAATCTCTCCATCATTAAAAAAGCTGGGCAGTCTGCTGCGAAAACCATTTTCGCGTCTGGTTTTTCCTAGTTTTTTTAAAATCACCAATATGTAAGCGTAAAATAGCATAAATGATTGATCTTCGCTGTTGCATCCTGTGTTCGGAGCTGCCAGCTATGTATGCTTTTCAGTACAGCTTGTTGTCGGAGGACCCGAGCAGAAAGCTGTCAAAATTCGCCACCCGTAATTAACATACAGCTGTAAGCCAACCTAAGCACATTATTCAAGGTCTACTGACGCACTGTCCTTCTGGCACTAACAAGATAGCCCGTGTGAAACGATATAGACGTAGTCGTTCGCAGATGCGAACAATAATGTGCCTATACCAGCTAGACCCTCGTCATTATCTACGATAACATTTGAAAATAGACTTACGTTATAACCCGCGAACAACAGACATGATGAGTATCTCTCTCCCTCTCTCTCTCTTACTTACAGACAGATACACATACATATAGGCACGACCACTATCAGACGCGCGCTCTCGAGTATTGGGCACAGATGCTCTACTCTGCAAGTCTTTTTGGCGGAGTGTGCTGATATTACTTCGCAAGGAGGAACGATTAGCTCAGTTCTATACGTAGCAGATTCTGATGATTGGTTTCGACTAAGATCAAAATCCGGTTTTTCTGTTGTTGTGGTCAGCAGGAAAAATCGTTGTATTTTGTTGGTTATAGCTGGATACATTTACCGGTCGGTTACCCTAACGGTCACGAAAGAACTGCGAAGTGATCATTGGGGATAACCGGGGTCTGTAGAAGCCATTCGAACATATACCGTCGTCCTTATTCGGGTCTTCGCACTATTACTTATCATCCAGTAGATCTTATACGGTATTTACATTTGGTTTGTATTGGTTACGATCAACTTTTACAGAAGACTGAAACCAAGGATTAAGCAGGTATGAACAGTCGCAAACCCAACATCCTCACTCTGTCTTCAACAGCTCTGTATTTCTCGAATTCAGAGAAACTGCGTCCACCTGACCCACACACTTCAAATGGAAGGTATTACTTATATAATCTATAAAAAAAAACAAACACCAGGGATAAAATAGAAGCTTTGATTTGGCTTCTCTAAATTAGCAGGAGTGCTGGAGGACAAACATTTTCGTGTCGACCTGATAACCGAAATATTTATATCCATGTTTCGTTTCTCGTTTCCAATCCGTATCTGTTTCAAAAAAAACATTTTCACTTCGACACTACGCTTCCTTATTGTAACCTCACGACGACAACGTAAGGCGCGCATATTTGAAAGCTAGACGACTTTCTACAATAAACCTGTATTATACTGATGAAAATAACCACTGAGATATTTGTCATCCAATAAATTTACATGGACAGCATTTTAAATTGTACAGTTGTAAAGAGTAAGAACAAATCTTCTGTCACTTCAACTTAAGTAGGTTCTGAGATTAAATTTTCAACAGCTATAATCCTTTGCAATGGTAGGTTCAAAGATATGTAATGAAATCAAATTATTGAACGAGTTGTGTGGCCTGTGAGGGTAGAGAGAAATTCACTCATTCGCCTATTCCCAACTGAACTCCGCGTCATAATCAGATTAAAAAGGCAACACGAGAAAAATCGAAGGTATTGCGCACAATTGGCGGTATATGTTGATACACATCTAAACATGCTTTGAAACTTGTTTTACGCAAATACTCGTTAAGTCTTTTTTTACAGAAAAATTCAAATTCGAGGGGTGTCAAAGATTCGTGAACACGTCTTAATATAATTAACTTTGGTCTCTCTCAAGACAAATTACCTTATTGATTAGTTTAAGAAGTGGATCTCTTTTTAGTAAGTATAAGTATAATCCATTGCTTTTATATGTCACATCATACAAGGAAACTCAATTAAGACTTCTCGAAGTATCATATTCACAATGAACAAATATTCACAGTAGATGATTCCCAATACCTGAACCACAAGGAAGCAACATTCCGAACTATCATTCGCATGCCGAGCCATCCCAGAAACCACGACAAGTTATACTAGAGAATGTTTAGCATGATTGCTGTTTTATAAGCTTGAAAGCAAGTACGCAAGGTCCAGATCCTAATGTGCTAAGCATTTCCGTTCATATATCTCTTTAGATTGTCGACTTGAAATCTCAGCTGTTTGTTTTCGGGTAGGATCGACGTGGTAATAGAATCAGACTACTGTCAGAAGCATCTCTATAAAAACATGTCAAGCTAAACCATTGACCTTGGCTTAGGTCAGCCTTTTATTTCTATCTAAGCTAGGTATTAGTACTTCATGATAAATTGTCAAATAGTAGAATACGGCGACATGTATTTCTTATCGGCATTCGCCTGAATTTTCAATGGAATAAATAGCCAAGAAGGCACGATATAAACGCATGACAAACATTTTATGCACTGGCGGGTGTATATTTCCGTATATCTTTTTCGTATAACAAACTAGGTATTTGCTACTGGCGCATCACACTTTCTTAAACAGTGATCAGTATTTATATATTTTAACGTTCATAATATCGCTCTACATTCGCTAAATACTGATGCTCCATGTTCGGCTAGAATTGACGTTTATTCTGCGTTTAGCATCTATACACTTGTTCATACAGAGTGATCTGCGAGGACTTTACAGGCGTCGTAATTAGTAAGAAATTGGCGCATTCGCAGTAGGGACATTTGATGTAGATCTCTAATAGGTTCTAACCTGGTTCCTAAAAAATGTATACCTTGACGAATTCTGTCACTTCATAAGTTTTATCTTAAAACTAGCCCAATAGTTTTAAGTACAGAAATAACCTCAGTGATGCTCGGTGACAAATCATCCTCCCAGGGGTTTTCCCGGAATTGTTTTAGATTACAACCTCAAAACACGCAAGCACGTGTGTCAACCATAAATTTCGATGTTGCGCAGGCTTTCCTACTCCTTGCAGTCTGTCTGCTGCTTCTTTTTGCCTGTTGGGCTCTATTCATTAGTCCGGTTATTCTACCCCTGCGATTTGGTGCGGTTTTTTATGCTACGACTACTGAAATCTTATTGATATACCGAAATTACATGGATGAATTTCAATCTTCTGATTAGGTTTCAACCGTTCAAACATTAACCATCCCAGAAAGCCACTGCTTTACGTTTTATCGAAATTATCGTAATATACATGATTAAGCATTCCCCAAGCGTTCTTTGATGTTTTTTTTGCGACTTGGCTGTCGCATAAGGTACGACGCATGCTTCGTGCTTTGACATCGTCGCGTGTTCTGTGTATGTTACTTCTGCTCTGCAAACATCAAGTGTTTTGTAGCTCGACTTCAAACAGGCACTTCCAGCTTTAATTCTAGAAAAAGATTCCTTCATTCATCGATATTCGAAGCTAATTTAATCGGCTACTGAGTAACTTACCTTCGATAAATTGCAGTTGCACATTGAATTGTTATGTCCAGGTGCGGCGATCCAGCTCTGTTCGAGAAATACACAGGATCACGTGAAGTCGATTTGAAAACTACAATCTAGAATCAGGGCTCAAGCCACTGGAAACAGAGAATTGGACGACGTTCGCTGACAGCAGAGAGAGAGTAGAGCTACGGACGAGGTTCGTCGAACGAAGTTACAGCGAATGCTGTTGAGGAACAGGGAACAAATTCAACAAAGTCTGTTTGCTTTTTTTCTGTTCCTAGACAAAGAAAATAACATGAGCAGTGTAATCAGTAAATAAGAAAACAGAACAGCGAGTCGCGCTTCATGCCAGTTATCGTGTCCACTGGTGAAACTCGTCGATAAAAAGACACTACCTCAGTGTGGGGGGGGCTCCGGGCCGTTCGTACGCGAACTAACGAGATAGATGCTGTGTAGAATGGAGCGCGCTAAAGAACAAATGCGGTTTATCCCTTTCCTCTACAGAGACCTTCTTGACTTGCGGAGCTTGAAATATCACCGACCCGAGCGCCAGAGGCCAACATTAAACAGCACAAACCAACTAACTACAATGCCAAATACAGGAAGACGACCCTATCGCCTATGCTGCTAGGAAGAGTCAATCGCGATATTCACTAACAATACAACACATAGAAAGCGACGGAGTGGGTAGGCGAATGTGGCAGCACATCGGCAGCGCAGTCGGGCGAGTAAGCGCAGACAGCACAATGCAAATCAGTGGCCAGAGTAGTGGCAGGCTTCTGCAGAATCAAGCCAAAAAAGAAAACGAGGTGACGGTACTGCTGCTATAGCAATGCCTCACGGAAGAAAGAACACGGGATACAACGAATAGCAAAGCTCGCTTGTATGCTTAGTCGTTATTACACAAGCCGTACACAGGCACGTAAACCTAGACATCCGCTAACGCGAGACAAAGCGCTCATGAAACGCTATGAAATGACAGTCAGATAAGGCAACTTTGGTAAACTTTTATAGTAACTTTCGTGATATATGCCTCGTTGTGATATTACATCTTGTGTGTGTGAAGTAAAAAGTTTTATATTTTTAGTGATCACAATGAGGCATGATATATGGGCTTCGTATCTTCGTATTTTTCACAGTAATTTACAGCTAAAGGATATATAAATGTTTAGAGGTAAACACTAAAGTGGCCTAATATAACATTGAACATTAGCTAGCTTGAGATTATTGTTGAAACAAGAAAAATGCCGAAAGAAATTCCTGCCACAGGGACATGAATGAGCAAGATGAAAAACACTTTGGTAATGGAAACGATATCTGGCGATTCCGCGTTCCGCGAGTTTCGGCTTCCGGCGGTCTGTTTCAAAACAACACAAGAAGCTCTCTGCCCATGGATTGCGCACATGGACTTATTTTATGGAAATTGACGGTTCTCTATAAACAGTTTCTTCGAAGTTGTTTGTGATATAATCGACACGGAATTTAAGGTAAAGTTATACACTTATAGTGAACGCAGTACTAAATGGCAACTAAAACTGAAAAACCTAGCGGACTGCGATAGTAAATGTTGAATTTTCAGTTACTGTATTTTTCCTAGTGATGGTTTGTGACAGATTGATCTTACGGTACAGTGCACTACTTTCTCCTGCAACAACATAACAGGTGACTTGTAAGCGTGTGCGCGGAATTGCACACTGAAAGTCGTGTGATCGACCAGTATCACTAATACGTGGCAAGCGCTCATCAGAAACAACGATCAGCAAGTTGCCATTTGTTTTACTTTTCACACAAAGGACGACCCTCATATAAAAAAAAATAGCTATATTATAGAAAAAAAAAAAAAACGACCGTTTTTGAGCTAGAAACTTAAAAGTTTAAGACTTATCGGCATCTTGACGCGGCTGTTGATTGAATATTATGAACTGAAGCCATCTAATAACACCTTTCAAATTAGTCCGAAGCAATATAGGGTTTCACATGAGTCTAGTAGGCTATGCACAAACGTTCGTTAAGTGAATATTGCAGAAAGCAGTTTTTGTTTTTCTGTGGCGAATTTGGTTAAAAAATAGAACAGTGAACTGTATTATGAATACAAATAATTTTTGTTTGCATTACACTTATAACGGTAAATTAGATATATCTGCGGCATTACATACAAAAGGAGCTGTAGAATCAAACCATTTCATGGGTATATTCATTGAGATGCGTTAACGTTCGTATGTACGTTGTAGTTTCAAGTGCTGCGGTGATAGGGCATATAGAGCTTAACTCTTTATATTAGCCCATTCAGTAATTCTATAGCTGAATGTATAGGTAAAGCTATATTTAATAAAGTTTGATACCTTGGCCAGGTAAATATCACACGATGTATTATGATTAATATGATTATATTACACTACAGACCATATTACCGAGACATTATCGGCCCAGAAAAATGTTATTTTTTAATTGTTTTCGATACTCTCAGCTGTTCTCTCTCTATCTTTGGAATTACCTTTTTTTAAGGTATAGCATCAAGAACTTGCCTTCACTAAGAGTCTAGCCCGGACGGGTCTCGTTGGACTCATGTGGGGTTCTCCCAACGTGACCTATGAAGCGGCATGGCGACCTCAAAAGCAATGATAATAGCTGCTTCCTTATGTTGCTATAATTCTTTTTTTTTCAGACTATTATTTTCTGGTAATATTTGAGAAGTTTGAAATCAAGCTATGTAAATTTGAGGAATATGAAGTCAGCAGATCAAAACACCGATTAGTGGTACCGCCATTGTAGGCGAAGCCAGCGCGGTATGTTTGTTACCTGAGATGAATACTTCCGCGCTGTATATGCGGCATACGATATTATATCACAGTTTGATTGCTTTAATGTCGCTTATTATATTTACCTGGGCTAAGTGTTACGCAAACCTGCACTAATTTACGACTCAAACTCTTAATCTCAACCTTGGCTGGTTGAGCTAATCAAGATGGAAAGAGTCAATTTTATACTCAGCGGGATTGCCTAGATTGACTTTCATAATGATGCTATCAATCGTGTAGACAGAGCGTTTCTATGGGTTATATAGCTAATTAGTGTGCACTTATTGCAGATGTTACTTTTGCCGAAGGTCGCGCGGGCGTCTTTGTTACGTACAAGGCACATGGTGGCACTTACAGATCCTTTTTGGTCTCAGGCCCGAGGAGTCATTACTCTTAAGCGAAAATATCGAATACCCCAGGATCAGGTTTGTATGAGGTAATCAGGAATCTGAAGCAGACACCATGTGACAAAACAAAAGGTGTTGTAATGGAGATAGCACTGTTGTCCATTGGAGAATGCCACATGGGGTAGCATAGGACTTATAAGTCTTAAGAAAAAAGCTCTGTTCAAGCGTGAATGCCAGAGAGTTCAATACAGATGAAGGCAGCTTTCATAGAAGCTTTACACAGCTTCAAATACTAGGCAACTTGCTCAGGCAAATGCTAATAAATCAACTGAAGTCTAAATTAAATGAGACTTGCATTAAATATAAACTGCGTTTCTTCGATTTCGGTCAAGGCTTAAATAAATTCAAGTAGGTGTTCGTTTTAAGCCACAAGTATGAGAACTCTTTGGCGATCAAAGTTTGTTTTTTTTTTATTTTGTTTTAAGAACTGCTTTCAATAGTTGGTCATAAATTTTGGCCTTTATAGTTACATCATTGCCTTGTGGTTATCCGGTAATGGTGAATACTGTCTAACGGCATCATCTCAAAGTGTTATGTCACGCCTATGTTAATATCTTATAAGGAACAATTTGGTATGTTTAACATAGTAATTCTTAAAATCTTTTACGTTATCTGCCTACGGACAACCTTTGATCGTTTATAAGCAACGTGATTCCCAGGTGCTTGAAACTATTCACATTCTTGGAGGTCGTTCTGCCTATGTGGAGCATGTTCGAAGTAGCGCAGCAGCCTCCACGGAACTTGATGGCCGCTGTCCTATCCAAGTTGATCTTATACACGCATCTCTTATTAAGTCTTATGCACGCAATTCTGAAGCCTGGCGAGAGCTTGCTGAACATGAAACCGCTTCCGGTTAAAGACGACAAGATCATCGGCGTAGAGCAACACTCTTACCTGACCAATCGGCTTTTCAGGATCAGAAAAAACAGAGGACTCACGTTAATTTTCTGACCAACGCCAGCTTATTGGACGATCGGTCATAGCTGAACAGTACGGTGGATGTACCAATCAATTTATCCTGTAGGATCCTCCGGACTACATACAGCATATCCTGTGGAGCTTTATTAAAATGTTGTCTCTGGGCGCATATTCAACACCGACTAAAAATCCGCAGACATAGCGAAGAGCGTCTGCCTTGGTCGGTGACCGACACAATTCGAAACTTTTGGGTTCATACCTTCATAACACAATTGTATTTTTATTTACACAAGCAAACATAAATATATTGGCTGCTTTGGTCCTTGCAGATTAAACATCCGACCCTGAAACTGCACAGGCCTCGCTTGCGGACATACGAGCTTGTTGAGGATACAGAAAGCCTTCCCAAGAAACCACTTAAGCTTGTCCTCAAAGAGTTTGTTGAAGGTATGCTCAGCGATCTTTTAGCTTTGTCTACTGCTTTCTATAACTTATTTTAGCAAGCCGGGTAAAATACAGGATTTAATGATCGGATTTTGCCCCGCAATAGCTGATTCAAGGTTTAGATCAGTTGTTCCGTCGTTCTTATTAAGCCATTCGGTTCGTTTAGTTAACGGATAGCAAATTAGTAGTCTTTTGGATCCTAACAGGACATAGATTGTAACGCGTGTAACCATAAAGCAAGTTGTTTATTCCGCAGTTGTTAATAATTTTTTTTTTCTGTGCAGGCGTTGGCTACGCGGGTGACGTTGTCGAAATAGAAATGACGTGGGATAGCAAACCGCGATACGAATTACTGCTTACCGGCCTAGCTGAATATGCTACCCCTGAAAATCTGGAATGGGCTCGTCAATACCGGGAAAAGATGGACGTCAAGCGGTTTTCCTCTCTGTTTTCGCCGAGAATAATCCGGCTGCTTCGAGATACCCTTTTCCCGCTAGGTGCGTATTACATTCATCATTTAATTATACCTATTTCCAAGTGTCGAGTAAGGTTTTCCTCGGATTTAATAGATATATACTTTATTTTTTAATACACGTCGTAGCTGTTAGTTTTTAAATCTTACCGTCTTTTACTGGTCATTTCTCCTGCATAACAATTTTTCTGACTTTATGGACTAAAAAGGAATTAGCTCTAACGCTGTTCTAGGCAGAGCTTGTATTTCTCCGTCAATTATCCTTTTCGGCCATGAATGTCATGACCTATTAAGTAGACCAAACACATAGAGAGGTCAAATGAGGTAAGTTTCCCAACTACAATTTTGAACACGATAATTTACGTCCTTAACTGTTTTGCTCTAATCGAATATTGTCTAACAATATTCTTAATGAAATCCGCAATAAATTTCTGCAATGTAAATCTATGGTTTTTGTAAAATTTTCTCGTATCTTGTTTTATTTTGAACCTGTATATTAACGTTGTTATATTCTGATTAAGCAGCATCTACTTTCTGTGATAAAGGAATGACAAGTAATAAGACGAAGAGTAAAATACACTTGTCATCAAGTGTATATTTCACATACAGTTTCTAATGAACGGATATTTTTTATGATGTGGTTTTTACCGCCAAAAGCTGAGTCTAATACTTTTTAGTGTTATCATTTTACTTTTTAGTGTTATCATTTTATTATGCCCATTCCAATTAAACTTTAAGCATAATTGTCAACCGCGAAATTCTCACGTGAGATTTATTCTGGCTACATGTTGAGAACGTGTCTGTTATTTACAACCACATAATTTAGGAAAAAATCGAATTGATTGTTTTTGATTTGATTTATGGTCGCTTCAGATATGAGCCCAAAAAATCCTTGGACCGTTGAGAAATGGCATGTAAGAAGTGCCCTTCGTGCCGCTGGCGTAAATCTGCCCGAGGCGGCAATTACGTTACCAGAAGAACCTATCGTAGGACCTGATAATGTAAGCGCTCACAGTGCCTTTTATATCTGTCAAGCTGATAGCTCTTTTATTCTGTCTTCTGCTGTTAATAGAAAAAAAATAATTGTCATAATTTAGTTGAATTGTTTAAAATCCTTCGTCCTGTATGATTCGATTTATTGGAACTTAAGTCTGGCAGTCGTTTACGGCATGATGGGTAACGTGTTTACCAAATGACCTGCCTGTGAGTGCCCGAAAAGCTAGCTTTATTATAGATTGTCTAGTCTTAGGTAAGACAACTAAAGGCAAAATGGAAGATAAGCGGCTGGCATTGAAATGTTTTTAATCGCCACTATACAATGCGTAAAATCAAGTGTGCATACAATTTGCATACGTATCTAATAAATAAGCATGGATACTTAGTCTATTTTCGCAAAAAGAGCAGGCTGGTGCAGGTCGCGTTTTCTTTTGATATAAAACATGACTTCCTGCGGGATTAGTAGTACTGGAGGATTTTAATTTCGTGCAAAAACGAGTAATTCATTTAAGAAATTCCGCTCTGATACTTGTCAGAGAATGCCGAATTGTTTATCTAAGCTTCTGAACGGCTAATATAGAAGTACGTTAGAACGTCTCTTGGGTTCAAATAAATAAATTCGATTTTTGTCCTACAATATTTTACATACGTTTTATCAGAAAACGATTATGTGTATTATAGATTACCTCTTCATGTTCATATAATGCGAGAAATGTCTTAGATACTTAACTAATACTAAGCACTCATCCGCATATCGTGTTTGACTATCCATATGTCAAGGCTTTTAATAAGGACTTCGTAGTGCAGATCATGATTAACGGACAAGACGAGGCTCACTGTCGATTACGCATCCGATCTGCCGAGGAAGGTCTGGTAGGTTGATCTTACTTGCCTCTAATTTTTCTAAAGTTCATGTGAATAAGAGACGAAGCAGTTCATAGCATTTGGTTGCAAGACGAATTAGATGTCTTATATAAGGGAAAAAACTAAAGGTATCTGTAAAAAAAAATGTTTTAGGACATTAGCTGTCCTTTTTGCAGCAATATTAACACGGATAATACGAATATTGTACATTGAGACACTGAAATATTGACGTGTTCTTTATTCTTTAATAATAACATTCTTTATTTACGCAGCGGTAAAAAGGGTCGTAATGAAAAAGGGTGTTGTAATACGCTTATCGAGTCATCTGTTCACGAGCTACAATAAATAGTGTTAGCATTGGTTTGCTTTTCCATGCAATGACAGATTCAAATTGCAATCCAAAGCGCTTCTTTGGGGCACCAAAATATATAAACTACAATATACCACTTGGTATTGTACATTTGAGAAAAAATCGAGTAGGGCTGTGGAGAGTCGGTAAACTATGCTCGGGATTGTTCAAATAGCAAATCCAATTACATAATTTTTTATACTTACCTTATTAGTATTAGTTATTTTTTCCTAAAAGAATGTTGATTTCAAACATCCTCCGAGTTCCATGGTAAATATGAATTTCAGTCTGTAGGGGCAAATTTTCGATTTAGAACTAGCGCAGAATATCTTGAAATTGTTTTGTTTTAGCAAACTACCCTTCCAGTCGTCTTCTCAATCACCGTTAGTAGATACGATTATAATAAAGATTTTGTTACCTCGTATGTATCTACCATAGTCTCCAGCTGCACTTTTTGAAGAATCAGAAGTACCATGGTTCATGGAGGAACCGATACCGTACCTGGAATCGCAGAGGAAAAACATTGAAGAATTACACCAGGCTGCGGCAAAGGCGTACGAAACAGAACTTCAGAAATTAAGGGAAGCAGGCCATGGCATATAGAAACAGGTCGTTACATGTGTGTCAAAACCAATATGTCAACAAGCACAAAGAACACATGACGGTGTTTGTTTGACCACTGATCTTACGAATGAATTTTCCAGTCATTAAAAGGAGGATAGGTAGAGGCTTATTTAATTAATAAATGATTTCTTTTGTCCTATACCATATTGTGTATTTTTTCGTTGTTCGCACATTTCTTTTTTCTCTTAGGGTTTTTCTTTTGGGCTGCTGGTAGCATTGTAAGTTCGCTGAATATATGGTCAAGTTATGACAAGACTGGAAATGCTGGAAATCTTGCTAATTTGCACCTGTGTAGTACCAAAGATTCAGTATCTGAAAGAAATTTTTTGAATAGCTTTTCGTATTCTTGATAAAAAAATTCCAAAAGGATGTGCTTAGTGCAAACTTTTACTTTTCTAACTAAGTAATTTAAAACTTGAATTGCTAGAAAAATTTTCTGGAGAAGATTTTTGTTTTGTGGAAGACATTTCTACGATCCTATGCTCAATATGTATATTATTGCGAACGTATATTTACGTGCAACGGATACATGCCGTGGCAAAATAACCCTGGTATCAGCATGTTTTGTGAAACGACGTTATAATACTACATTTGACTTGTAAAAATGATTTCACTTAGTAGGTTTTCAGACCTATTTCCCAGCACTCGTGTGTACGAAACTGACATCACAGTGTTGTTTGGGACGCTTCCTGAGCAATACGATTGTTGCGTTCATCAGCGATGCACCAACGACACTGCTAAAATATCGTAGGTCTGACGCGATTGAGAGAATTGGACAAGAATAGGAAAGATTCATCAACAGTTGGCAACATGACTTGTATCTATTTTCCATAGTATTCGTTCTAGTAAATGGCGCCCAACTAGTTATAGACCTGGATTCCCTTTTTATATAGCGTCGGTCGTATATTCCAAAAGCTTTATGCAGGTAGAAGAAATACTATATACTGAAAAAGCCAACCCCGCAATATTACGCTGCACACCTACATGATGAAACAAAGAACGCATTTCGAGTAGCTATACGTCATGATACGAAGCTTCTGCCTTTCCCAATTGTGCTTTAATAAATTACGCTTAGTAAAGTTTCTTCTACGAACTGAAGTTCGACCCATGTTAGAATAGTACCAACCAATATTTCTATTGTCTGGTTATTTGTTATCATTTATTGAAGCCGGAGGCAAAATAGAATATAAAATTTTTGGCATCAAACATGTGATTACTGAACGGTTTTTACTCTAGCGGTATTAAAAAATGCAGTTTTAAAGCGACGTGTAGTCAAAAAGAAAAGATGAAAATCAAGGCGTACATTCTTTATATAATGCTACTGAAAGTACAATAGTGGAAGAAGAAATGGGCGTTTAATGTAAACGCCCACTTCTTCTTGTATTTTCAACTAGTCTATTCCGCGCTTCTACGATAGAAATATTTATATAATACATTTATGGTAAACTAGTAGGCGAGGATGAAGGAAATCTGGCTAAAACATCACAGATCATATGTGAACTTCAGTGTAGTATCGACATGAGCGCATCGGAGCAGCGCTATTGGTAGTCAACAAGCCAAAACTTAGAGTATATGCAACACCTTCTATTGGATATCCACGTGATATAAAGAAAATTAAAAAGTCCTATAAATCAGATCAAAATCATTTAACTATCTTTAATAGTAGTCAAACATGTATAGAGGTCAATAACATAGTATTACAATGAAAATAAGATCAAATACAATTTTGGATTATATGTATTACTAATGTAGCTGAGTTCATGAGACTTGAATTTGAGTAATTTGCAAGATATCTTTCATATAATACCAGAAAGCAGGGAGTTACATGGTATTTATCACAATCTGCCCCGGATATAGAGCATCTATTAATCGTGTTTGCCTCATGCAGGTTCTGTTCCCCGCAAAGGATACGGCGAAACCTTTTTACGACAAAGCGAGTCATAAAATCCCTGTTTAGCCAATTCGAAGGGCAGGTATCTGTGTAAAACTTGCGTTTTACAAGAGTTTGGTCGCTCCGTTATGAATAATCATTTTGTTTTCCTATAGGGCAGCAGCGAGAAAACTGAGCACAGTTATAGGGACTTCCACCTCGACCTATACGAACATAACCTTGGCTGTGAACACCGAGTCGAAGCTTGCCTTGAAATCGACGAACACCGCGTACAGCGGAGGGCGCTGTTGGGACGAGCAATACATGCCTATCAAGAATATTGATTTATTATTAGTTAACGAAGGTAAAAATTGCCATTGAGATACGCTTAGCTGGTATCCATTTTTCTGTATCAGTAGAACACAAGTTTGATCTTGACTATTTCAATCCTATTCTTAGATAAGGCAGCACTCCGACTAAAAAAATCGGTCAGGATAATAATCGCCGCTTGCACCTGTACAGATAGTTACAGAACTAACATGAATTACATTTTATGCATCCAAAAAGCTGAGTGACTGTAGCTTTTCGACTTAGCTTATTCTTTTCCACTAATATTTCGATTAGGTAATCTTTCGATTTTGTAATTCAAGAATTATCCTTTTGACAGGTATGTAAAGTAATGAATAAGGCTTACACCAGCGGCCGCGAATCTACGTCAAACATGGTTAGCGAATTGCCCAACTAATTAAAATCGCGATCTGGACTTGAGGCTAGAGTCAGCTCATCCTATTCACTCTAGGGTTTTTTGAGTATCCTATCGATTTTTTTAGGCAATATCCTTTTTTAGCGTTGAACATGGTTCACTTTCAGTCGAAGTCATACACATTTGAAATGCGTTGATATATTATAGTTATACGTGATGACCAGCAAGAATAAGGATTTTTAGTAATTACTTCTCCTTCAATTTGAGCATACTTTTAAAATGCTAATTGTTAACGAAGTCGAATTTCCTGCTGAAGCAGGTTCGCAGTGTACCCCGTTCGTACTAACAGTCAAAAGATTATAATCGCCCCACGTTAATAGTGATTTTTGTCTGTGCCACTGAAGGATGGCGCTAATCAACGAGATAAAACGTGTAGCAAAATCTATTTCTCAACTGGTTCAGTTTGGATATTAATTCAAATGAGTTGACAAACAAAAATATAGTGAAGTTTTACGTATTATATAATATCGATAACATCTAGAAATAGTAGCTAAATTTCAGCCGATTTGAAATCATTTAGCGCGAAAACACGCAACAATATGAAAATCCACGATTATATGCCCATTGTTATTGACTTGCTATTCGTATCATTCCTCATATATAATGGATGATATATTTACTGTACAGCACGTGTAGCGATGGTTTATATTGTCATTTGAAATGCTCACACAAACTAATAGAAACACCTGAAGCAGACTGAATCAGTCACACGTTCAATTTGAATGCAACAGATCGTATGCACGTGTTGGCTTTTAGATGTCGGCTGATATCAGCTTAGGGGTAGGCAAAGAAGAAAATACCTGAGATTCTTTCTAGGCTGCGGTTATATCTGAACATTTGGTGCCGATTAATTTACTATATGGGTGACCGGAATGGATAAAGTACCGGCGCTACCGGTGTTGTATGAGGGAGTCGAAAAGAGAAATGGCTTTTACAGGTCTTCGAAGAGTGTTATTAAGCGTCGACATGTCACGTGATGCATACGTGCTAACGCACGCTCTTGTACTCGCCAACAGCAGGAAGCGGCAGTTTGAAGCTCAAATGCATATAACAAAAGGGGAGTTGGTTAGGCAGGTCAGTCTGTACAGAAAGTAGCTCTGAGCTTTGCTCAGCTTGATCGTACATTGCACGAATCTGGTATTTTTGTGAAAAGTACGTGGAATAGCTATATAAGCTTTGACCTTTGTTGAAGATTTAATGCACGCCTCAAGTTTAAGAATTTATACCTCCCATTTATTTTAAACGGAATAGGCCTATATTAAATATGTTCGTTGATAACTAGGGATAATATACGGCTTTCATGTAGCCTCGGCAAGGATCCTACGAAGAAGTGACGATGAAATATCAGCACATCTTCAATATTTTTTGACAAACTCCAGTAGATATTAATAAATTCAGTGTTTAGATTAGAGTCAGTGTCATTTACTGAGTGATTCAATAACATTATTTAGTTTATCATCTAATAGGATTAAATTCAGTAACATCTCTTAAATTTTTTCCGAACAGTGGTTAAGTATGGGAAGTCGCCATATGACCAAAAGCGTTCATAAAGTGTATTACAGGTGTAATTCGTTTCATATAAATTACAAAACGTACCAAAGGATTTGTAACTACAATCGATTGTACAACTGTAATCGATGTATCCTTGCCTAAAGTTTTGATTTGAACCCTACCTTGTCTTAGCAGCTGCTCCTTAAACTAGACATTATTTGGAAAGCTAATGGATGACTGTCCTCTACCATAGTAACCAACTGCAGGCAAGTGCTTCATTGATTTCATAGGAACCTTGTATTAGATATAGGTTTTAGAATTTCATAGTGAATGATATGCAAAATTTGTATTATTCTATATTTCTGTCTGTTAACCAATGATCACAAATATGTATCCTGCTAATACGAGACTATGCTTAGTAACCGGGCTATTCAAAACGGCGACCATTTTAGGATGTCATATTTTTTATATTTATGATATATTTTTCCAAAGTGTATGTAAACTTATACATAATTTTGAACGGGATTATTTGCAATTGCGCATGGCGGCCTACAATTGGCCTCAAATATGTTCGCTTTTCAGTGCGTTTCTACACTGACTGTTCGCTCATTTTGCTCGACTATGCATGCCGTCATGGTGTTTATTCCCATATATTCATTATGATGTCCTGATTTTATGTGAAGGGAATGATAGTGACCATCACTTCAGCTTTCAGAGCGTGTCTTTGCAATCCTCGTTTTTCACTTTTCGCATATCGGCTGAGTCTACGCCAACTTTGTTGAGCGCTGTATCAATCTGGGCTTGGAACGGGGCCTGATTATGAGGCTCTGTTGTTACCACAGGATATGCCGCTAAAAAAAAAAAGAGATCAAAGCGCAGGCTTTAAAGTATGTAAGTTCACCTGTATGACCATCGTGACCATATTTCCTTTTTAATTCAGCCACTTATTTATTCCTGACTTTTTTGTAACTATCAGTCTCGTTTAATCAATACACTAATAAATAATAAAATCTTTTTTTTTTTTAAATTTTCAAGTTGTTCTATTCAAGCTGTACAAAAGATACGTTTGAAGATTCTGCTAAAATTAAATGCTCCTACCTATATATAAATATATATATATATAGGTAGATTTCACGGTTTTTCGCACTTGCATGCAATCGATAACGTGGGATATACAAAGGAAAACGTAAAGATAGGAACATTTACGCGTATAAACACCAACGGTAACTGACGTCACATTGTTTATCCTCTTTATTGGCGTTAAGTATTTTTTCTTAAATGAATTGGCTAATGTCACTCACATACTATATAATCATACTATATTGTGTGTCAATCTAGCAGCCAAATTATATTCTTACACTTTTTTTCGTGAACCTCATCATGTTCAAAATAAACTTGAGAAACCAATTTTCTGATAACTTTGCACACGTACTTGCTTTCCGACCCATATTTGATTACGACACAGTTATTTACATACATGTTGCTACGGCAAAAAGCAAAAAATTAGTGTTAGGTTTTTTTTTCAGGACTTTTCATGACATTAACTTGTATTTTTTTTATCTTTGAAGTCTCATATGCAAAAACTACTCAGCTTTCGTAATATGCTTGCTTTAGAGTTATATATATATATATATTTGTGTGTGTGTGTGTGTGTGTGTGTGTGCGTTTAAGGTGATTCGTAAAAACTGACTCAATAAATAATTTAAGCTCCCATTTAGGCTAACCTGTTGGTACTGTTACGTAAGCATGGGTTCAAGCACCTGTCAAAATAGGGGCTTCACTCTATGATAATGAGCAAAAGAAGCACCCCCATTATTGCTGGTACGTTTACTGGAGTATCAGAACGCGTCTGGCATCTCTGTTGTATATTAAGCTTCTCTACTCCAAATCAACTACGCAATATTTTACCTATGAGGTAAATTTCTACTTATATATTTAATACATTCCTCATCATCATCAGCATCATCATCATCATCGTCATCATCATCATCATCATCATAGCAAGGGTGACTATACAATGTTTTCCCGTTTTTTCACATATTAGCTAGATTGTCAATTGATCTAGGCGAAAACACCATTATTCGCTCAAGGCAGGGCCCGGTCCTACCAATGCCCATTTCAAAAACAACGCTTCCTTTCGGAAAGGGTGAGTTGGATCTGCCTTGATTACCAATTCAGCCTGGGCTACCTGATTACTGCAAAAATGAGACTCAATAAGTATGTAAATCGATAATAGATTCAAATAAGCAAGGATCAATGTGTGTAGAATATCGATTTTCTCCTAACGAGTGTACAAGCGGTTTATCTGATCTAAATCTAGGGGCTAACTGATCTCTGTACAGGCTATAAGCGTCATCAAATTTAACAACACGGATTTATTCTACTCGTCACATTCTGCCTCCGTTAGACATTTTATCATAACTGTATTAGAAATTATTTTATTTTTAACTATAAATCGCCCGTTTCTGGCAACAAGTTATATACTGTGCTGTAAACTACATATACATTATGCAGTGTGTTTAACTGTAGGCTGTGCGTATTACTGAGTAGCTTAATCTGCTTGAATATCATCAATTGGTTGTAGCACTTACTCACCGTCAGTCCATTGAGCTGCCACGATGAACACTTCCTTGTCCTCCTTAATGATAAAATGTGCACATCGGTCCTCGTCACCATAGATTGACTGAGCATAACCGTCTGTCCACCACTTCTGACCGTGCGTAAATTACGCATCCGACGATAACACGTCGAGAAAGTTAGATAGACAACATTAGTTGACATTGTACGCCACATAAATACGTCGAACGTTTGCATCAGCAAAGATGCAGATTGGGCGCTTGAGGCTTTTTGAAGTATTGCTAGGGGCATTCCCTATGATATGAAGTTGTTCTTGTCAGAGCCGCAAAGAGCCGCACCTCTGCAAATTTTTTTACTACAAACAGACGTGTGGGAATATTATTGTTAGTGCACATATTTTTCGAAGATTCTGCTACACGAAAAAAAACAAGTGGCAAATAGAAAAAGCTCACCTTTCCGATACTAACATCGATACTTGTTGTTTCTATCGTATTTACACCTATTCGTGCAGGTGGGGTCATGTTCTTGTAACATCTCGTTTGTTTTAAAGATACTCTTTCGTTTACTTTAATAGCTGGTACAAAATGTGCGTTGTACCTATATTGAAGGACGCTACTTTCAATAGAATCGTGAACAAAAAGTGCCGCTTTATATCTTGTAATGTGAATAGTTAAAAATCATATTATTTATTATAGAAACTACATTTTTACTTCTTTTCATTTTTTTTGTTTTACGTGTTACTCAATGGCAATTATGATGCTTCATTCGCCATAACCACTGTGAAAATATTGTAGTATTTCCTTTGTTGTTCCATTTAAAGAACTGTAATATCATCATATCTGCTGAAATTGATGATTGGCAATGATAGCGAACGTTGTTGACGAGACGTTTTCGTGTATTTAATAACTGCTTATAGTAGTAAGTTATAATACTGCTGAAATAAATGCTACGTTCAAGTTCAATTCGTGGCCAAGTTTCTGTTCATTTTTACCAGTAACTAAATGGTTGCTTCTGTCAGTTCAGACCATCATGGTCCATTTCAAACAAACTATTGATATTATGAATGCTGTTTATTGAAAACGTCAATATTTTAGTAGTGCTATGGCGTTACTGGCGGCGTATGTACTTATGAGATCGATAGGGTGAAGCGCTATCATCCACAATGGTGAATTAACTGATCAAAATGTTCCATAAAAGGCGGGGCTCAGCAACGACGCCGCCCAAGACAAGTAGCAATCTCATCTCAATCGTTAACAATGGCGCGCGACGTTCGAATATAGGGCATAGGGCCACACTACTAGCGTTTGATCACTACCGGCGGAATAGAAAGGGTAGTTCAAAGCAAGCCAAAATATATATAACTTTTATTTGGATAATGTTGGTCAGAACACGTCTTGGACAAATAAAACACCACCTAATAGTTTTAATGTCGGCGAAATTAATCCACTGATGATCTAACTACATTATTTTAAATGTTCAGCTTTTCAACTACGACGTTAAACCCAGTTCACTCTGAGATGTTTGTCAAATTACTGTTATATAGTAGTGTTATATAGTAGAATAGTGTTAGGTTTGCTTGCCGCCGCCCAAACCAAGGGGCTATCGAGACTATATATATCTACGTTGCCCGTGTTTCCGATAACCCTGAAAACGATTCTCCTCATTCTACTGCAAACGCTGTTTAGTTCGTTATTTCCAGCGATAAAAATTTTCCATGGCTGGTTGCTTAACGTAGGATTATTCATATGGAGTTTGTGCTTGCACGTAGCCTGTACACTAAGTTTTGACACGATTCTCTATGCGTCTGTCCGTGCGCAAATTTTCTACAAATGTCTTGAAATGGTTTGCGTCAGTAAATTTATAGTCAAAACATAGGGACAGCGTAAAGTGTAGCGAAGCTATTACAATCGCACGGTTATGTAAGCTGGCATAGGGCGTTGGATACATGACATATTTACATATGTATAGTAATGGATATACAAAGTTCTCCGATACCAAATATACTGTGTGTGCATTTTTCATACGTTGAATACTGCATATTTATATCTGAACATACAGTATTCGATATCTGATCAGTCTCTTATGCCAGGATTGAATGTTTGGTTAGACAATCATGGCATTAAGGTTTTTTTTTGCTAAATAAGAGCTTTTAATACAGTTTCAAAACCGATCATCATGATCATGCTTCGTTTGCCTGGTCCACCGCTGGTGATATTGAGTACGAGTTATATGAAGCGTGTACAGGCATGTACTATCCGTGGTTTAATGACTGGCTTACACGTGCTCATCGTAACGAGTGGCGGGGTAATATTGAAGCAATAATAAAGTCATGATAAAAATAATAATAACAATATTATATGATATCAGCATGGTGAAAAATCGATAAGTGTGGGGCATTTCTTGAGGATATATCCGGTGCCTCAAAAGAGTGACTCAACCCTGTTGAAAGAAAGTTAAATAACTTTTTTCAAAAACGAGTTCCCATGCGTCCTTTTTTCTTAAGTAGCATTTCTAACAAGAAAAACAAAAGGAAATACCAAAAAAAAAGAATGAAAACCAGATGGATATGATCTTTTTAGCATACAAACGGGCCAACAAATCGGTAGACATAACGCCTTCACCGTAATGTTTTCTCGTCGAATCAAACGCCTACATAGAAAAAAGTTAAAAATATTATAAAATCTGTTAATACATATCAACAATGGTCAACACATATATACAAGCTCTTCCCTATATAAGGGTCCAGGGTCATGTTACTGCGTAGGATTGAAACTAATGACCCTACATTCTCATGGCTCCCATATCGCCCTAGTATATGAAGATATGAATGAAAATTGACCACTAAAAATAAACACTCTTACGTTCTAAGAACTATTAAGCATCGCCCTAATCTTTCCCTCCCCCCATCTCCTCCGTCATTTTCTATTCTGGTTTTTACTAGTATTTTACTTAGTATTGCTACCGTGCGAGCAGAGTACACTTCTGTATGTGGCCAATTTAATTTAAAATAATTATATTCCTCGTTCGGTTCGGCTTCATTTGTTTTCTCTGTCTTCTGCACTAGCTCTATTCGACCACTGTATTTGATATGAGTCTTCCTATTTTTAACTACTGAAAACTAATGCGATTTTCAGGTAGCACCACTGACCAACGAAAAATGGTATTACCGGAATGTGTATATTCTAGTAATATGACATTTTATAAATAGGTAAACACGCTTAGCAGAAAAGCAAAAATTCGATGGAATAAATTGGTTAATCTTTTTTCGGTTTTATCTTAACTATATCATGAATAAGCGCAACTTACGGTTAGCAAAAAAATCTTGGTTATATTAACTCTATATATTATTCACTTGTAGGAGTGATAAGAAATTCAACACAGTATCAGACCTCTGATATGTATTAGATAATATATAACGACCATCTTTGAAGAAAATAAGAAATTTCGTTTGCCAACTGTTTGTTTAAGGCGAACCTTTTGTACTATTCATAGTAATAAGAGTCTTTTCATGCACAAATATATCATAAATATTTTGGCACCATCATCACAATACCCTTATTAGTTCTTATGTATCAAGTCTCCGTGGTTATCTTCAAAAGCTTCCTTCTCCCACTTTCTTTTTGCGTACCTCCGCCATTGCATTTGAAAGCGCGTTCCGTACTTTCTCTATCATGGTGTAACACGATTATGTTGATATTGTGTTACCCACCTGAAAGAACTCCTCGACCAGGATAGATGCTTTAGGTGGAGGAAAGTGCATTTTCATCACCCCCTGTACTACGCGTTTTGTAAAACCAAAATCCTGTCGGGATATCCCAGCATATTTACATCGTGAATAATAATTGGCATTCAAATGATTACTGCTTAATAATGATTTGCCAAATTCGAAGAGCGAAAACGGGATCTTAAGGACGTCTTTACTCCGGCCGACTTTCTCACTTTGATGACGACTATTTGAAAGTACTTTTGAAGGGAGACGGCTAAGCAAAGAGCTCAGAAACGAGCCGAAAAGATGGGCTGTAGCAAGCGGCCGCCGTTGAGCATCTCAAGCCTCTCGAGGTTTGCATAGGAACACGGAATTTGGGTACCCCATAAACTCTCTGAATCAAACAAAGAATTATAGCTCAACGCCGCACTTGAACATTTTGTTTAGTATCGAGTGTCTCACGGATTGATTTTCGCACAGAATTGTAGCCGGTGATGAGAAGTGATGTTTGTACGTCAACATGAACTAAAGATCGGAATAGATAACTCCAAAAAGGGAGCCAAAGCCCGGGGCCCGAGAGCTCTCTTATCTAAGAAAGATTATGCTTTGCGGTTGACAGGACTGCAACAGCTTGATTTACTCGTTATCGTTTCCCTACGAGCTACACCATTGATCGGCCCAGTTGTAATGGGTCGGCCAAATTATTCAAGAGAGAAGGCTCAACAGACGAACTCAGGTCACCTTGCTCCATGACAACGCAAGGCCACTCGCGACAAATATCGTCAAAGCTGCCCTTCTCGACCCAAATAAGAGGCATTGTTGCGTCGTGTATATTCTCTAAAGCCTGCGCCGACGTTTCTTAGTCTTTTATTTATTGGCCAGTCACCTTTGTCCCGGATCACCACTCAAAGCGTAATTAGAAAGCTTTTTCGGGACTAACTCCTCTATTATTTGGTGAAATGCCATACGTTATTTGGTGAGAAGATAAGAGAAAGTTGTGAACAACGACGGGATATGTATAGCAATGTATTATCCTAGAAATAAAAATGTGGTGTTTTCTATTCAGTAACAAAACCGCGGAAGCTTACTATTCAATCTAATACTTATGGCAGCTTTATTATGTTTTCAGAAACTAAATGGTCAGTTTTTCTAAATTTCGCTGTATGATATTCAAAACCATTTAAATTGACGATTTGTCCCAAATGGTAACTTTACAACAAAGCTTAACTGTACTTTGTTTTTATTAGTATTCAACTTTAACTAATTTACTTTTTTCGTCCGTATTCTATGACGTCCATATATTCTGTTCATTCTGTTATCTCACTCCTGCAACCCTACGACCGATGCAATCACAGCAAAGGTAGCGAGCGAAGCGTTAATGCTAACAAGCGGCACAAAGCAAATACAGGTTATAAAGCAAGTACTTTATTACGCCTTCAGTTGTTTTACCTTAATTCTTTTTTGAAGCACATAGAAACCGAAACCATAACCATATCGTCAACATATGCTTCTATTATTCTTGGGTTTTTCCGCTCGTCCTTCATCATATAGCGAATGATTCTGGGATTCCAGCTAAAAAAAAGTTGAACGCGTCTTTGCGGATTCGCATTCTCCTCTATCTATCTCTTTTCTCTCGACCGTTTCCCTTC